TTATTACCAACAGACTGACAAGCTACAATAATCCATATCGTCTGATTACTAACAGACTGACAAGCTACAATAATCCATATCGTCTGATTACTAACAGACTGACAAACTACAATAATCCATATTGTCTGATTACTGACAAACTACAATAATCCATATCGTCTGTGACAGAGTTATTTTGGAATATTTTGTTCATTTGCTATTTAGTGAAAAATTTTAAACCTAATATACTCCTTAAAAAATTAAATAATCATTCATATTGGTGTATAAATGCAGAGTGAAGATGCAATTCTCTATTCAAAGTACACATTTTAAACAAAGTTTACAATCCAGTATTCATGGGTTGCATTGGAACTTGCCAGTTTCACTATGTACTCAATGCTAATGATAACATACAACTTCTAACAAAAGAATTTGATTTAAAATAATTCTTTAGGACTTAAATTTTCAGAAACATATTTAAGTTCTATTGAATAGTAAAACAAAGAAGATATAAAGTATTCTTTTTCTCATGGTGGCATTCATTGGCCTTGTGGTAGAGCTTTGGAGTTCAGAGGTGGCGAGCCGTATTCTAATCCATGAAATACTGACAAAATATTCCCAATATATTAGCTGTAAATACATTATAAGAAGTTATAAGGGTGACAGTCAAACCCTTATCGTGGATGGTATAGGTTGCTGCTGACTGGCTGTCTTCCCTCTGGCTTGTAGTTCAAAACGAAACAGATAGCCCAAGTAACTTTGTCATAAATACAAACACAAATAGTGTTTCTTAAAAAAAAATAAAAAAATACAAATTGGAATCATAAAAACGGACTTCAGACTTTATCACTCCAAGCACTGCTGCTGTAAGTTATGGTCAAATTATTTTAAGTGGCAATATTTTAGTATCATAGATACTGTTGCATATATGTATACTTATTAGTTAAATAAATACATGATAATATTAATGACTTATTGTTCGTTAATGAACTAGGATTTTGGATTGAAAAACATTAAACATTTTTGTATTGTGTACATATAGAAAATTGTTATTATGCAAGTTCTGTCTGTATGTAATTGATTATTTAAACCGTTAGCTGCACTGATAACATCAACGATATTTTACTCAAGATAACTTTTAACAGAGCTTATCATTGTTGATATCACTGAACCATGACAGTCACCTACATCACTGTATGTGTATACATACATATATATATATATATACATATATATAAAATTAAAATATCTAAAGGTTTGATGGATTTTTTTATTATTTATTGTGTATACGAGGGGCTCACTAGAAATGCATACTACTTATGAGCTAAAATGGCTACTGCTTTTTCATGGATTCATGAAGAAATTTGTCACCTAAATTTCTTTTATGAAAAATCAGCAAAAGATAATAAACAGAATGAAAAGGGGGTTCGATGATATTACTAACCCCGGGGCCTAAGCTGGCTCTCGACGCCCCTGGTAGTTTTAAATGTAAGTGGTTATAGCATAAACTAACTGCTGGTAAAGGGTAGTTTTTAGTTTCATTGTAAATTTAAATCTAATGATTCCGGGGCGACTTTTCTAAAAACTCCAGCGCATCTTGGTTCTTTAATACATTGGATTTATTTTGCATGAGAAACTAGTTAAGTCCTCTTAAAAGATATTGTTGAGTCTCGTCACCAGAAATCAAAGCATAATGTAACGCCATCTTGAAATTGATAAGCCCAAACCTTTCAAAAATGTGATTTCTCTACAGAGTGTTAATTTCTTCATGATACAAACGTGTATATTATCAAAATTCAACTTGGTCGATGAAAATTACTTCATGTGGAAAACACACAAACAAACTTTAAATGTCTTGTGGAGAAATGTAAAAAGTCATCATATGAAGAAAATTGCTATGTGTCAGTTAAAGAACACTTTTTTTGTATATTAATTATATGAACATGATGAAGAAGCATTCAGGAATCCATTTTGAAGGTTTTAAATTAATGTCTGATTACCGTGAACTCGTTCTTTTGGACATTATATGTTTAAGGCAGGTTCAGGCAGCCAGACAGAAAGAAGCCTTGTTTACAGTAAGAATGAATTCAAGGAACTCTGTACGCGCAAAGACAGAAAATGGTTCTGATATATTTGACTTTGGATAAGGACATCAAAATAAACGGTTTATATTGTCTTTTAAAGTGTAACATCATTAAAAAAAAAGTATCTGAACTGCTGTTGTAGTTTGTTTATTTTGAATCTTGCGCAAAGATACACGAGGGCTATCTGCGTTAGCCGTCCCTAATTTAACAGTGAAAGACTAGAGGAAAGGCACTTAGCCATCATCCACACACCAAACTCTTTTTGCTCTTTTAATGTGAGATTGATCTTCACATTATAACACCCGCACGGCTGAAAGGGCGAGCATGTTTGGTGGGACAGGGATTCGAACCCGCGAGTCGAGCGCCCTAACCACCCGGCCATGCTGTTGCAGTTATAGATTTTAAAAAGTACCTTACTAACCAACGTTAGTGAGTCTAATCTTTAGTTTATTTCGACTCGAAGAAGTAACATAATGAAATTAACACAATATTAGTCTTTAGTGAACGATATTTTTTATAATAACCATCATCATATTGATGCGTTTTGTTTTTAACGATTTCAGGCAGTCAAACTGGAAAGTGTTCACGTTGGAAGAGCGCGATACTTGGTGGTCATCTCCTGTCAGGGTCGACATAACACTGAAGAAAGCTGTTTGCTTGGGATTGACTGTAATGACGACACTACCATTGGGCTTGTTTTGCCAATCTGGGCTGATACCAGCATCACGCTGGACGGAGATGGGTAAGTTGTACTTTTGTTTTACAAACTCGTACACTTAAAAATATTGAACTCCTCTTGATTATTGGAAAATCGTTAGTTTCATATATTTATTTCCTTGATAATCCATCTCATTGACAGAGAACAGTGTTCTTAAATGTATTTTGTTTATGTGAATTGTTTTAAGAAGGTTGCGTCGAACTTTGTAGCTTCTTGACCAAAATTAATATTGTGATAAAATTTATTAAAATGAAGAAATTATGATTACGCAACTGTCCTTGCTTTTCTTAATCACACATATTTTTGGTAATATTCGTTCTCTTTTCCTTAATAAAACTAATATTCTCGTTGAGAAAAATAGTTACCTTTAACAACTGCTGATAAACATCTAATATAGTTTAATTATTTGAAATTTAGGAGTAGCATTGTACTAGATTAAAATAAAAGCTGCTTATAAAATTTTAGTTATATCTAACATCCGATGTGTAATAACGTCAACGAAAACAGGGTATACGTAAGTTTTCTAATATAACTAAAGACATGTACAGAGGTTAAGTGCATTATATTGAAATGATTTTGGGGCCTCACCACGTCATTACAGTTCATGTCGCAATATCCGTCATGCTCTGTCTGATGAACGGTCGTTCATCTTGACAACAGTCCCACAGCGTAGTTTCCATACCAGAAGGATCTCTCATAAGGCTGTCATGTCAAAAGCAATTCTCTCCTCCCTGCAAGCTTTTCATAAACCATCAAGTGTACAGAGATGAAGTTTTTTAGCATCTATTTCAACAGTCCAAACACACAAAAATCCATAGGCAGTGTCAATTGACTTGACCAGTATGGATTAGCATGAATATCTGTTTCATTCTCAAACTGCTTTGAGGTATGCATCGATTGAACGTATATGTTGTGGAAACAACTTATGTACACGTGACATGTACTGCTTTTTCATTCAGAGATTCTGCTTGATTATGTTACTTTCTGTTGCTTGGGGCAAGTGACATCACACTGTCTACGGAAAGCCAAGCTATGTTAAAGCGTAGTTTTGATACATTCTATTCCACCACGGTTTTTTAATTTCTGTGGTTGTCACATGACTTGCTGATTTACATATATACAAAATCACTTTGTTATAACGTAGTGAACTCTGTATACATACACAATGAGTTTCAATGTTATATGAAAACGCATCAAGAGATGCAGAACTAATTATCTTTATTTAGTTCTTTCTAATGACAGATGATAAGAGCTCAGGGTATATGGATCTGTGAAGTACATTAACAGATGTGGTATTTATGTAGTAGTTTGAGTATTTAAAAAGTGCCTTACTAGCAACCACTAGGGGATAGCCCATTAACTCAATTTGTAGAAATATACTGTGAAGAAGTAAAATTCCTCATTGGCACCCAACATATGGCCATTCCACGACCCTAAAGTTAGACTCAGGACAGGACTTGTTTGTAAGAGAGGGGAAGAACGTAATAGTTCGAGTAGTTGAAAAGTGCCTTACGAGCAAGTGGTAGAGAGATAGTCTTTAATTCCTTTGGTAGAATGCGACAGGTCTCGGATTCAAATTGTAAACGAGGAAATGTATCATTAAAATGAAATAACCACATTTATACATTCAACAGTAATGCATTTATAGTGAATATGAACTACACTAGTGTTTCATGCGTGCTTCTCGGTGGTGGTCAAGGGGTTCTGTGTGCACGAACGAACCATTTTGTTTTACAAGTATGGAATTCATAATATGTGAATAAAAAATGAAAATGAAAGTCATTTTTATATGCTTCATCTAGTAATCTAATGGACTAAATAATTTATGGATAAGAAAGTTTTATAAATATCTAGCGTTTGTTTAGTATAGTTCCTAGGTCCAAGAATATGGCCTCCAATTGTTTAGTATGGTTCCTAGGTCCAAGAATATGGCCTTCAATTGTTTAGTATAGTTCCTAGGTCCAAGAATATGGGCTCCAATTGTTTAGTATAGTTCCTAGGTCCAAGAGTATGGCTTCCAATTGTTTAGTATAGTTCCTAGGTCCAAGAATATGGGCTCCAATTGTTTAGTATAGTTCCTAGGTCCAAGATATGGCCTCCAATTGTTTAGTATAGTTCCTAGGTCCAAGAATATGGCCTCCAATTGTTTAGTATAGTTCCTAGGTCCAAGAATATGGCCTCCAATTGTTTAGTATAGTTCCTAGGTCCAAGAATATGGCCTCCAATTGTTTAGTATAGTTCCTAGGTCCAAGAATATGGCCTCCAATTGTTTAGTATAGTTCCTAGGTCCAAGAATATGGCCTCCAATTGAACGCAGGCTCACGGAACTTAATCACACTAGTTTGTGTTTGGTAACCATACTTCATAAATATTATTTTCTTGGCACCTGTGGAAAATGTTAAAATAATAAATAAATAACACACGATGTTAAAACCAATGCACAATTAAAAACATTTCTGAAATGTGGACTCAACATCTTTCGACGTTTACCACGTCATCTTCATGAGTGAACATGCAAGACATAATTGTTATATTTATTTCTTCTTAGCTAGATCATGTGACCTGTGTGTAAGTTTACATTTCTGGATAAATCTCAGGGGAGGTCCCGCCACAATCTTACACAGATATTTGCCAGACCTTCGTCTCTATTTAGTAATTGATCTTATTGAAACCATTATTTCTATGGATTCGCGGATATTATTGGCTCTAATACCATTTGGGTGAGCCAATATTACTGTTTTTTTTTTCCATAATATCTTATGTTGTATTTTATGTACATGTTTTGCTATGGCCGAATTTTCAGTCTTTTCATTTTTAAACATCCCTATGTGCTGCTAAACGATTTTTTAAATTACGTTATGTCTGTCCAATATGATCATTTCTACACTCACATTGAATTTGATAAATTCCCGCTTTTTCCATTAACCTTATATTATCATTAGTATCACCTAAAATTTGTTTTATCTTATTCATCGGTGTAAATATGGAGTAAAATATTTGTTGTTTTTAAACGCTTTGTGTAAACAAGAAGTTAAACCTGAAACACATGGCGGGACTTCCTCTCAGATTCATACAGAAATGTAAACTTACACAAAGGTCATATGATCTAGCTAAGATAAAATTAGTATGACACTTATGTCTTGCAAGTTCACTCCTGAAGATGACGTGGTAAACGTCGTCCACATTTCAGAAATGTTTTTAATTGTGTATCGATTCTAACGTTGTGTCTTCTTTATTTATTATTTTATGATACTTCATATTTTTTAACTGAAATACCTCTTCTAAACCTTTTCCAACGTATCATAAGAGTATACAGGTCTCTGTTTAAAATGGTTCTGCTACTCTTATGTGATTTACTTTCTCTTAAATAAATTAAGTTTTCAAATTAGACAGGATAAGAACAACTGATATGCCGATTAAGCGATCCGAAAGCGTATATCAAACATAATTTTATTTGATATTTTGACTTGAATGTCCAGCACTCTGGCAACTGTCATTTAGTGGAATATTGAAAATAAAAAGAGAAAATAACCCCTTTTGAAAAAAAACTATTGAAGCACGTTGATATATTTTACTACAAAAGACCTTTTCAAAATGTTTCACAGTCCTGATATTTCACATTTAAAACAAAATAAAGAAACTAACTATTAAAAACCAATCAGTTGTAAGGTTTTCCTGCTTTGTAGCCGTATAGCCCATATTGATAGATTTAGGGCTATACGTCATGATATTGTTGAACCTGTCAAGTTTATAACTTCTGCTAGTTTTTACGGAAAGGTTGTTACATTCTAATTTGTACGAGGAAATTACTTTCCAAGTAATATATATATATAAAGTATGTTGACAGGGTCGCTCTTTTATTTATATGTACTGACACACCACAATTTTACCTACACATTTTCAGAATTCTGCCGCATAAAGAAAAAGGGCACAAACAATTAATGCATGCTATCTATTGTATTTATATAACTATGAATTGTGAATGACAATCAAGTAGGACGTATGCTATGATATGTTGACGTGATTGTCAGCACTCATAGTGTTCTGTCACCTAATTGGCTCCAAAAGTATAGGAAATTTTCAGTTTTATTTGACAATGTGATAAAGAATTTTATGAAAATATTTTTTTTAGCCTAGATTCCAGATAAATGTCATCATCATTCTTGTTTTTCTATGTGGAAGAGATCGTGGTAATTAGGTACATTCCCTGTCACAATGCATGTTTATGACATTTTTCGCTCAGCAACAGAAACAACAATTGGAACCAAGCGATGAATGTGATTTGAAATTACGAGTTAAAATATTTTATAAAACATATTTATAAATGCAGATGGAAGCACGTGAATGGAGAATAATAAAAATAAATCTTAATGCGAATTTTATAATTAGTACTATTATTATTTTGTAAATTAACATTAACTTTCCCAAATATGTCTGCATTCGCTCGATACAATAGCTCTAACAGTTGGAACATTAAAGCACACACGTTACTCAAGAGAGAAAGAATTGATGCTGAAAATTATGAGAGCGATATGGATTATTGTAGTTTGTCAGTAATCAAATATTCACTCTTTCTTACACACAAAAACCAGATTTTCGGAATAGATTGCAGTGCAAGTACCATTAAACCATT